TGGAAAAAAAAAAAAAAAAAAAAAAGACAACGGAGCAGCCACACCAATAAGAAGGATAAAAGGACACAATTACGGAGTGAATAAAATGGTCAAACCTCCTCACTAGTTTCCACTTCACAAAAGAATTGGGCAAGATGTTATCTTCTAGTGTGGATAACTCAATATAAATTCATCAGTATACTAATAAAAGACTAAAAGTTAAACTAACTTACATTATGTATCAATATAACTAATAACTTTAGTAAGCCCTTTGATGTTATAGTCAATTCATTCAACCACAATATAATCAAAGATAAAACAAAATGGTACTCCATATTATTAGGAGTTCTAACTAGCAAGCCTTGTAAGAAAGATCCAAATGAACTTGACTCATTTAGATTAACCAAAGTGTAGTAAATTACCCCAAGTAAGTCATCATCACCAATATCAGCAATCATACATTTGGAAGACTCGTTGATTTGGCCTGTGTACTTAGTATGATTGTTCACTGAAGTGACTGAACCAACCAAACCCTGAGAAATATGATTGATAACAATTGGGGTTGTGGAGACATCTGGACACCTATTCTTGTCATTCTCATAGCCCCCTGGGAAGGAAGTCGTTCTTCTATCTTCACGAAGCTGAGGAGTAACCTCAACCGATTTTCCAGGTTGGACATAGTTTCTACTAAAATTTTGTAGACTTGAAAGAGCAATCCAAGCCTGTTAGGAATTGTTTCAACAGAAGTCATTGCAAAATTATAGAAGTCTTGAGTAAGAACATTTTTATTGATTCAAGTCATTCAGAACCAAAAGATAGGGAAATAAATGTTGAGTTTAGCTTGAGTAATATGATCATAAGGTACAAACACCTTGACATAGAATGCAAGTTACACTTAATCCTGCATAAATTACCAGAGAAAAATATATTGATTCCAAAGAAAACATGTTTATCAATAACATGGCAGGGAAATAAAATTTCAATAAAAGAAAGAAAAAAAAATGCTAACCATAAATAACAAAGTGATAGTGTATCATGTAATAAAACTACTCTTGTTCATACAGCATTTATACTAGTATACCTTCTCAACTTGTACTCTCCGTGAGCCTTGAATATTTTCACTTTGTTGAACACCAAACCTGAAAGAATGAATGCATTAGAGAGAAAGTTGAAAGTGTGCTGAAATTCAGATATTAATCTGTATACCAAGTTCCTCAGTAATAGAATGGTCACCGTTGACAAAATAAACAGAAAAATGAAAATCCTGAGAAATTATCTTGGCACTGACTAGCAACAAGTGGAGTAAAAACATCATAATCCAAAATGGTAACTTCAAACAGAAACAGTTTCAAACCAGCATCCGCCATGCTATACTACTTATACTACCATGTTAGCAAAGAAACAATCATCTACAGAAGCAAATGAAACTTCAGACAGAAACAGATGCCTAATCAGCAACTTGTAATGAAATTGCTTTCCCCGTGCACACGCAACACTAATGATTAATGAACCTCCAATGCCCAATTATTATAAGCTAAAACCTAATTCCCATTGTCTAAGAACTTTATTCAGACAAAAAACAAAAAATCTCAGCTAACTTAACTAACAAACAACAAGGTCTAAAAAAAGTAGTAAAAGGCATACGTGGCATTCCCAGGGAGTGGTTCTTCATGGCAAGGCTTCTTAGGTGGGACAGAGAACATAAAATTGGAGCTCAAAAACTTGGCTTGGCAGGAGAAATTCTCATGAGCATTGGCGTGTTGCAGCCAATTACCCTGCGGGATTTTACCATTGCCTTTGACACCCTTGGCTGAATTGGCTTCACTGTGAAAAATCCAAAACGCTATTAGCGACTAACTACGAATGATGAACCACAAAGAGAAAATAATAAGCAGCATTACCTTTGCCTCATGTCAGTAGCAACCAAACAACACATTCCCTGCAGATTCAGAATGCAGATTGAAATGTAACGACAAAACTGCAGCGATACGATGATAAAAGGCAGGAATAAGAAAAGGCTTTGGCATACCTTAGCTAAAATTGGGCATCGGGAACGGGAGAAGAAACGCGATGGATAATGGAATGTTGAGTGATAGCAGAAGCAATACGAAAGAAAACCCTAGAAAAAGAGATTGCGAAGAAAAGAGAAAGAGAGAAGTGGGAGTGGCGGAGAAAGAGGGCTCTTCCAAATTCTACCACACCCTCGCCTTGGCGGGATTTTTCATTTCATCTATGTCTCCACCAAAACTTTTTCTTTTCTTTTTTTTTTCAGATTTTAGAACCGAATAAAATAAATAGAGGAAAATTATTTTTCAAAAGTTTGTTTTATTCACCCAAAATTTTCTCTATATCTTTTTTTAATTGCTTTTTTTTTATCCAATTGTGTCGTTAAAAGATAAAAACGTATTTAATTTTTTTTAATGAGTAAAATAGTAGACAGAGAATGTTTGAATCCTTTCTAAACCAAAAATTTTAGAGAAGAAAATTTGAATTCTGACTATTTTATAAGGATTAATTATTCTAAAACAAATAAATGCATAACAAGAAATTTGGATCGTTGGCTTTATTTGAAAACGGTTAGGTGGGAGAAAATTTAAATTTAAGTTAGGAGGAAATACAAATTTATATTTTTTATTTTTCTCAAATAAAAACTTTTCTCTGTATCTTTTTTTATCTTGTTAAAAATTAATATGTGCATATCAGAATGTTGGATGATTTAATTCCAATAATTTATATCAGATAATAAATTTGAAAACAAGGTTAATGAGTTTTTTTTACGGCAAAATTAATGAGTGTTTTTTTATAATCATTAACAAATAAAAATATTTTATTAAATATCATTATCAACAGATTTTATTATAATTTTTAATATAAACTTTTATAATTGAAAGAAAAAAAAATCATAATTAGTATCTTTATTATAATTAAATTTATTAGCTTCGTTCATATAAGATTAACTTTTCCAAGTATATTAAATTATTACATTAAAATATTAAATTCAACAACGAACACAATTAACATGAATTAGTAAAATGGTGATCGAGTCTTGTGACTTATATGAGTTGTATTGGATGCTTGAAGGGAACATTACTGCTCACTCAAACATATTTGTATACTTGTTGTATAGGGGACAAAAAATACTAAATTCAATCCATTATTACTTTAAGTCATATTTAAAATAAAAAAGTCAATTTATGAATACTTTGAATCATATTTAAAATGATATCATATGATTCTATATTTTTAGTTTAAAAAATATTTTATTTTGAACTTCTTTTTATGTATTTATTGAAATACTAATAATTTTTAAACATATTATTGATATAAAATCAATTTTATTGATAATTAATTTATACCGGTAGTTTAGTAGGTGTAATATTCAAGATAAATATTTTTATATAAATAAAATTTATGGATACATAAATATAAAAAAAATTTAAATTTATGATAAGTAGTTTATATCATAATATTAGTTATTTTTAATTATTTGAAAATTTCCTATAAAAGCATTGAAATTTAATTTAAAAAATAAGAGTAAAATCCATTTTGTTCGTAGAATTTGGAATTAGACCTTAAGAAATCAGAAATTGTAGAATTAGTTTCTAAAATAAAATTTTAAATTTAATTAATTGTTATCTTTTTAGTTTTTAAATATATATTAATATTACCCTTTTAGTTGCACAATTTTTTTTTTGGAAATTTCAACTACCATAATTGTCAATTTACACTTTTAAAGATTAATTTTAATATTTTTTAATTTTTAAAAACAATAGGATAACATCTTAAAACTTTAGAGATCAAATTGAGTATTTATTCTTAAAATAAAGATAAAAAAAATAAACTAAAAGAGATAAATATTAAACAATCAAATATACGAGTGATAATAATTTTTTTAAAATTTCAAGAATTTTTTTAAAAATGTCCTCCTGAAAGAATAGTCCTTATAAATATTAAATAATTTTTTTAATTTATCATCATCTAATTATAGTCCTTAAAAATATTTTTATGACTATCCATTCATAGATTTATACACATAATAAAGAGAGAAAAAAATCATTTTTAGTGTACATATTTTCCTTCTACTGTGTTTTATATAATTTTTGTCTTTTCTTTTATTTTTTCATATAAATTTTTACTCCTCAAATATCTTATAAGTGCTAATTAACCATTTATCTTATTCTTTAAATAATAAGGAAACATTTTCCCCTAATATATAAGAAAAACCATAAAAAAATATTATAATCATCATCGAATCATAAATTATCTTGCGGCTTAAATTTTTAGTCATTATTTTTAATGATATTATTATTACATATGAATATCATGATTAAAAAAAAACTTTTAAACTCTTTTACTATTTTCTTTTATCCACGCTCTTTTACTGTTTAACATGAGCCTTGTTCTATTATTAGTGCTGTAACTTTCACGCATGGAAGTCAACAAAACTTCATCCTGGGATTCATGTTAAGTGAAATTAACAAAAAGGGTTAATTTGTTGGATTCATATAAGTTAGAAGATTATTCCGACCCAGAAAAATGATGACAGAAGAGAATGGCGGCGAGCACTCAGTTGCTGTGTTGCCACTTTGATTATGGTGTTCAGGTACCCACTTTTTCATCTTCTCATAAATTCCAATATCACTCATTGAACAATAACGAAGAATCTATTTGAACAGAAAGATAAAGTAATCTCGCAGTTCATATGTTGTCCGTGAAAGATGTGTTGTTAACACGTGATTGTTGTGTTTATGTGGGCAGGTAGCCCCACATGTGAGGAGGAGTTTGAGGTTCCCATTTTGGAATTCACATACTAATACAAAGAGTCTCAGGGTGAATTTTGTGAAGGTGCAAGAAGCAGATATGAATATGATGGCCACTTCTGACAACAAAATCCCACACGTGCTGACTGTTGCTGGCTCTGATTCTGGGGCTGGTGCTGGAATCCAAGCTGATCTTAAGGCTTGTGCTGCTCGCCGGGTCTACTGTTCCACTGTCATCACTGCTGTTACTGCACAGAACACTGTTGGGGTTCAGGTTTGCTTTCTTTCATGTCAATTTCGTCACTCTTGCTGCCAAAGTATTTAGAAACATGAAAAGGCAACAACTTTATTTCATGACTTAACAAAGCAGCTTCAAGTTTAGTGGGGTTAGTTCAAGGCTTTTTCATATAATGAACTGAGATGTGGCCAACTGCTAATTTTGTTGATATTCAAACACTGATACCAACACTTAAAAATTCAGATTTTATATTGCTCTTTCTGTCCCTTTTCTCAAATCTGTGGCAATTGCTAGGGAGTGGACATTGTACCTGAGGATTTTGTGGCAAAGCAGCTGCAGTCTGTGCTTTCTGATATGCATGTTGATGTGGTAAGTCTAAATAGTGATCGCAACAGCTATTACTTTCAACTATTAGGAGACAGGATTGATTTAGAAACCTATTGGGCATGTTGATGACTTGGTGCGTTCTAGCAAGCAAGTTCATGGATTGCTAATGTTCCCCACTTTTCAGCATAGCTTGCTTCTTAAATTCAATGTTGTTGTTTTCCCTAGCCCCATTTTCATCATTTGTATGAATCTGATCTTATATTGAAATTTGATCTACTCCGTTATGAGGGTTGCTGACTTTCTGTTCTGCTTGATTCACATCTTGGTTGATGCCTTAATGGTAGTTGCTATTATTATTATTATTATTATTCCATTTGAACTAATTATGCTATGTCTTTAGGTTAAAACAGGCATGCTGCCCTCTCTTAAAATAGTGAAGGTCCTTTGTCAGAGCCTTAGGAAATTTCCCATCAAAGGTATTCAATTGTACAGAAAATTATAACGTATTTATTTAATTGCAATTGGAATGGCATCTTTGCTGACTTCGTTTTTGTTGAAGGCAGCTCTTGTGGTTGATCCTGTCATGATATCTACCAGTGGGGATGTACTTGCAGGTCCTTCTGTTCTTAATGGATTTCGGTATGTCTTTTTGAACTTGCACTGTGCTATAACTGTTTGAGATGATTTTTTTTTTTCACTTTCTTTAGTCTTCACTGAAGGATCCAGATACTATTCAAAATCCTTTGCTTATGTAGTAGTCTTATGCTTGATTTTCTTTGTTATAGATTTCTGTCTATTGGTTTTTATTTCAAATGAAATTGACTCTGCTTATTATTGGATTCTGAATGCAGGGAGGAGCTGCTTCCCATGGCTGACATTGTCACCCCAAATATAAAAGAGGCATCAGTTTTAATTGGTGATGTGCCACTGAAATCAGTTTCTGACATGCGTGCTGCTGCAAAATTGATACATGATTTGGGTCCTAGGTTTGTTGCTGTTTAATATATTTGAATATTTGGTTCCAGTCAAACTAAATCATGTTTTAAAACTATTTCTTGTCTCTTACTGCTTCTATGCTTTAAAAAAATTGCAGTAATATCAAAATATAAGTTTCCTTTTGGGCAGAACTTAGCTGCATGAGTAGTAGCATGCAGACTTCCAACATTAAACTACTTGTTTGGTACAGCTTGAACTTTAAAATATATGACTCATGGACCTTTTAAATTGTCATTTCATGTTTTTGACAAAATTAAAACTATGAGGAAATAATATCAGTAAGTGCGAAAGCACTAAGCAGTACTGATAAATCAAATCTGTAACAATGATGAACTGGTTTTTTCCTCTATTACTTGATTATCTTGAGGGAGAAACATGCCTTACTAAAGACATACTTCCAAATAGGTAATATTTAGTAAATTACTTTTGGATAGATATTATAACTATATAGTGAAATGAGTTTCTGAAGTCAGAAGAACATAGGTGAAATCATATGTATGGTATATTTCAGCTGAATTTGAAAATATCTCACATCACATGACATATTCACTAGTAAAATATTTTCCTATATTATAGTAGTATTGTACTGCCTTCATTTTATTCTTGCTTATTTTTCTTCAGACTTTCCCAAGAGACTTGGAAGAAAATATACACTTGATACTGTTTATATCTAAATGACTGATACAATAGCCAGAACACAGACTCATACGTGTAGCAACATTTCCAAAAGAATTCACTGTATTTTATAAATATCTCGTGTAAATTACTTCTTGTGAAATTTGATGATCTATGGAAATGAATTGATTATTTGATTGAATGTCTACTATGGCCCTGAGGACCTTAGTAGTACTTTTGGAGTTCAGAATCCATTCTGTGCTTATCATATTGCTGTTTATATTGACCTGCACAAAGTAGAGTATCAAACTGTTTACCTAAAGCAATGATGCCTAACAATTGCTTTGCTTGCTTTCTATTAGCTGAAATTGTGAGCGTGTTGTATATATGAGAGTTGCACTTCATGGATACATCATACAGGTCATAAAAATAAAATATAAAAAGCTCCGACTTCAAAGAATTGTGTTTTTACAGATAATTTTTCATTGCAGGAATGTACTTGTCAAGGGTGGTGACCTCCCTAATTCAGTAGATGCTATTGATGTATTCTTCAATGGTGAGATTCAAGTCTTCAATTCTATGGCACACAATGCCCCCCACCCAAAAAATAAACAAAATCTACAAGACATACAAACTTTTCCCCTTTACCTTCTGTTTGTGTATGTCCAAATCTTTGTTAAAAATAAACTCCATTTCTAGGTCTTGAGTTTTGCAGGTGAGGAATTCTATGAGCTGCGCTCGTCGCGTGTAAATACTACCAATACTCATGGTACTGGTTGTACCTTGGCATCATGCATAGCAGCAGAGCTGGCAAAAGGTTCATCCATGCTTTCTTCAGTTAAGGTTTGTTCAACTATCTTAATTGATATTAATACTGAAGGACCTCATGGGGCAATGCCCATGATTTACCCCCTTTTTTTTCACTAGAAAAGAAACAATGCAAATAAAAGAGATTGAAAGATGGAATATGCTATAATTTTAATATTTTTACATATCTGGATTCTGGCAGACAGCTAAACATTTTGTTGAAACTGCCCTGGATTATAGTAGAGACTTGGTGATTGGAAATGGAGCTCAAGGCCCTTTTGACCATTTTTTGGCACTTAAGAACATCAATCAGAGTTCTTGTAGGCAGAAGAGGTTCAATCCAAATGATTTGTTGCTATATGCTGTAACAGATTCGACTATGAATAGGAAGTGGGGCCGTTCTATTGCTGAAGCTGTTAAAGCTGCTGTTGAAGGAGGTGCTACCATTGTTCAATTAAGGTTTGTTTCTTCAAATGTGCTTTTCTTTTTTAGTAATATTGTATACATCGTATAGAATATCTGAGATTCTTACCATCAGTATTTGATAGCAGATATAATTCTCTTTGGTTTAATATGCCAAGCGGACTGTCCTAAAGATCTGGAAATTAATATTTACTTTTTTATCATGAATAATCTCAATCTTATTGAATTTTTTTATTTATTTCCTTGTATTTCATTCTCTTTAAATCAACCAGGGCATCAAAATGTATTATAATCTTGTTCGTCTAATTTTATCATCACCAATATCTGTCTATTCCATTTCTTTGGTCATATCTCTACTTGGCTTAACAAATTACTGAGAACCTAAACGTCTCTGGCTGGCTATCTAACGTCACGCCTTCCATGAAAACAGATATTGTATCATAATTGAAATGACATTAGGCTATCCTTTAAAGAAAAGCATTCGGCTGGCAGACAGTAATTCCTGTTGTGCCTTGAATCTTGATTAGCAATTTATAAAGTGAATCCTCAGATCAACGATTGCTTGATTTTAATTTGTCTTTGTGATTACAATATTCTTGAATTTAGAAATGTTAGTTTTGTAACTTTAATTGAAGGGTCTGATGATGCATGTTTGATTTTTACTTCCAGTGGAGACTCAAGCACAGGCATTGTTACAATAAATGGAAAACATCCAAAATATCTTGATTCTATCTCAAAGAGATTTTGAGTATATCTTAGAATTAGTTTCTATATTTCCTTATTATCTCATGGTTTGTTTCCTTATTTAGTTAGGATTGGAAGTATCACTTCAAAACACAACCGAATATCCAATCCCTGTTCTGTGCTTTACCTCAATCAATACCTAAATCTCCATAGTTTCAACTTCAACAAGCATGAATTATTTTGGCCTGATTTACATCTCTGCTTCTTCAGGGAAAAGGATGCTGAGACACGGGATTTTCTTGAAGCTGCCAAAGAATGCATTAAAATATGCCATTCCTACGGAGTACCTCTGCTTATAAATGATCGTATAGATGTAGCCCTTGCTTGTGATGCTGATGGTGTTCATGTTGGTCAGTCTGACATGCCTGCAAGTCTTGTAAGAACTCTCCTTGGTCCTGAGAAGATAATTGGTGTATCTTGCAAGACGCCTGAGCAAGCAAAACAAGCATTGATTGATGGTGCTGATTACATTGGTTGTGGTGGTGTATATCCCACCAACACAAAGGCTAATAATCGTACAATAGGCTTAGAGGGCTTGAAGGAAGTGAGCCAGGTCTCAAAATTGCCTGTGGTTGCAATTGGTGGCATTGGTCTGTCAAATGCACGTGCAGTCATGGAAATTGGTGTGCCAAATCTGAAAGGGGTTGCTGTCGTTTCTGCTCTGTTTGATAGGGAATGCATTTTGACTGAGACAAGAAACTTGCACGCGTTATTAAGTTAGGCAGCATTCTTGATACAATGAATATGACGGATGTGGGAGCAATTTTGCTGAGTTCTAGTCAAGGGAGTGGTTAAAACAATCATATATGGTTTTACATAGAATGGAAATATATACAATTGCAGATTCTTTTCAGAACCATGCTAAACTTGCAAATTTTCTATAGAAGAATTTACGCTATGCTCAATATTGGGGCAGAACAAAACATTTGGAGGTTCATTCATTTGCCTTTGTTGGATGTTCGTACCTGTTGATTTACAACTTGAATGATCCCAAGATTGATTGTTCGGGAAAACTATTATGCTTTGCATTTTGTTCTTTATCAACTATGCTAGCGGCAGCAAAGTTGGTGGGAAATCCTTAAAATAATCAGTTAGACAATTTTTAACACTGTTTTCCAATGATAATGCCTCAGAACGCTAGCTAAATAGGGTATTGACCGAATAAAAATATAATTTAACTAAATGTCAAAAAAGAGTTTTGTTTCTTAATAAAATTAAATAAATGCCCGTCAGCTCAGACTTGTTATCGACCTTGTCTATTGTCTATTTTGAGATATTTCTCTTTAAGGTTCCTGGGTCTAAGAAAGATTCTTGATATAAAAATATAAGAATCTATACAACACTGAAAAATGCTTCTTTTCACTTGAATTCAAATTAATGTGAATCAAAGTTGGGTACTTTACTTTGATGAATATCATACTCGTAAAAAAGTTATATTTTTCTTTCCAAGATTTCAAGTTACACGAATTAAAGCTTCTACCAGTTATATATAGCTGATACATCTTGCAACAAACAGGCACCACTGCCAGCATAGTCATAAAACCAATAGGAAAGAAACATTTTGCCTGAATACCCTGCTGCGAGATAGATAGGGAGAAGAGTGGGATGAAGCGCAAAAAGGACAAGTCAAATACTTGTAACATAGTCACAATTAACAACCTTGCACAACATTAAGAAAAATGTACATTCATTTATTCCACTATTTCCTATGCAGAAAACTGAATTTTATACATACGAGCAAAACATTCACACCTTAGTTGAAGTTAACCAAGTGCAAAGGAAACCAAGAATCTATTGTTCTATCGAAAACTACACCATTTTTAACTGACATGAAATTCACCGCTTGCCTGTGCCTCCTTGACTCTCTTTTCATACTCATCTTCTTCGGGCTCAGCCTCTGCTTCTTTTGTTTCATCCTCTTCTTCTTCTCCTCCCCAGCCAAATCCTCCGATTGACCTGGATGCCAGAGGTGGACTCTTGGCCTCCTCAACAATATTCATGATGTCTTCTATACTCTGAAGAGAAAAGGTTGGGTTTTCTTTTCTGTAGTAGGCAGCTTGAGCTACTTCTGTTAATTCTCTAGGCAAGTTCTTTAAAAACCATGGGTGGGACTTGATTTCCTTAATGGTGATTCTCTGCAGTAAATCATAATATGGAGTGACAATTTATTTTACCATAAAATATCCACTTGTGACAGGAGGAGAAAGGGGGTAGCTTAGAAGCACTACACTCCCATATCAGTCCATGTCTGAAATATAGTAAAAGACTGAAAAAACACCAAAAACTATGATTATGAAATTGTTGAACAGTTATGAGGACACTTCAAGTGATATCATGCGCAGGTAGTATGTGCATACCCTAACTGGATTTGCCACAAAAATGCGAGATAGCAGATGTCTGCAGTCTTGAGATATGTGAACATAGTCTGGGATCTTGTATTGAACAGCCATAATTCGCTGTATAAGAATGCAAAGAGTCAGAAAGTGTATACAAATTATAAATTAATCAACTTAGATGATGGAGAAAAGTACATTGATGGTTTTCCTAAAATTTTTGGGATCCTCCTGATCTTCAAATGGGTATGCTCCCACCAGCATTACATAAAGAGTCACTCCACATGACCATACATCTGCTAACTGAACATATACAAAACAGCATAGAAGAAATACAAAAATGAACATCATTGATGTGTTATATGCGGGAAAATCATCAAGCAGGATTTAAGCTATCTGGGGCCAAAATACTTCAAATGTGGAGGGAGAGTCAGAACAAACATGAATAACAAAAATAAAGCCCGCCTTCCTTTAGATGGAAATTTTTGTAAAGAGCATTTTAAGAAGTAACTACTAGACACCTTGTGCTACGGAAAATAATATTTACAATTTTCATTGTGAACTACCCAATTCACGCACTATTTTTTCCATATTATTCGGCCAGTTAACGTGGACACATCAAGAAATTGCGCATAATGCACAATGTCACATCTATAATTACATAACACATCAAGCATAACTATATTGTTTAAAGGCCTTGTACCAATAGAAATTATTATGATTCATTTTATTTCTAGCCCTCCTCTGACTATGAGAAGTTCATGTGTGTGCTGAACTATTCCAAGACATTCTTAATCTTACTCCATTATAGAAACAATATTACCTTTCCATCATACTCTCTACGTGAAAGAACCTCAGGTGCAATGTAGGCTGGAGTTCCCACTGTTGACTTAGGCCTAGAATGAAGCAGGGATGACTGAAAAAACAAAAGGTTTTCATCAGCAAAACTTGTCAAAAATGACTTAATAACTTATTTAAAGCAATTGGTGTTAATATCACTCTATAATCGAACCTTAGAATAACCAAAATCACAAATTTTGAGCCGCGGGGCAGGGCTGCCATCCAATAAGGTGTTCTCCAGCTTCAAGTCTCGATGGCAGATTTGCTGCAAAAAAAGAAGGAAAATTACATAGAAAATAGGCGCAAGGATGCAAAAAAAAAATTGCCAACTGAAACAACCCATTCCCGTAATAATAATTCTAATCACCATGGAATGACAGTAGCTAACTCCTGAGATGAGCTGCTGGAAGAAATATCGAGCCTGGAAATGTAGAGAAGACAACAAGAATGAGAAACAAATTATAGAATCCCCAAGCACTTGGTTGCTAAGATTTAAGAATGAAGTGGGAGTAGGAAGACTGTGCCTTTAACAAGTACTTAAGTGGAAATGAACAAGTCTACGAATGAATGATAGTCAGTCAAGCTACAAAATTTAAAAGCTTTAACAAGTATTTGAGATACAATGCCATTTCATTTTCTACACAGGTTCCTACATCTACTCATCAAACGAAGGCAAAAGATGCGAGCTATAAGCATTGTAATTTTGAAACTATAAAATAACTTCATTTGAAAAATTAAAAAATAATATTCGGAAAGAGAGGAAACCTCATCTTCACTGAATCTTCCAGCACTGCAAATTCGCTCGAAGAGCTCTCCACCAGCTGCATACTCCATAACAATACCAAGATGTGTGGGAGTCAAAACCACCTGCAAAACTGAAACCACATAATAAACAACCCAAACATGCCACAACCCAAGAAAGCCATTAGTACTCTCACTCTCAATCTCACCCACAACCACAACAAGATCATACCATATGTACATACAGACTATAGAGTACAGACCTCCTTGAACCGAATAATATTGGGGTGCCGAAGACTTCTATGGTTAATGATTTCCCTAGCAACATTCTCATCGATCTGGAAAACACCAATCAATCACAAAATACAAAGTTGAATCATCTCATGATTACAAATAATCCACAACATGAATTGCAAAAAATAAAAATAAAAAATTTACAGTGAAAATGAAAGGAGTGGAACCTAACCTTGTGACCCCGTTCAATGTATTTCATGGCAACAAGCTCTTTGGTGTCTTTGTGGCGCATGAGTCTGGCCACTCCAAAATTCCCAGATCCTATGTCCTTGACGAGCTCGTATTTGTCCATGCCGAATCGGAAATTTGCGAGCTTTGAATGAAAGCGAGGTGGTGGAGATGACCCAAATGGGGGAATGGAGAGAGAACAAAAAGATGGGGAATTTATGAGAGAGGAGAGTGATGGGTAGTGGGATTTGGGAGAGTTTCCAAGGAAAGCAAAGAATCGTGTGCGCAATTTGGAGATTTATATAATAAAAGAAAAGTGTTGAATAGTTTATTCGAGGAACAGAAGAATTGTTGCAAATTTAACTCAGGGAAGGGAGAAAGAGACAAAAGAAAGAGAGTGTGTTGATGTTGGAAAGAATGAATATGAATATCTGCTTTCTATCATTCTATGCCTCCAACATCATTGCACCTTCTCACATCCTTTTCAAATTTATCTCACTCCAATCTTTATCATTATCCTACAAAAGTTTGTTCTTTTCTTCTATATAATAAAATAAAAATAAAAATTGATGATTACATTTTAGATGTTAATAATATGGTAAGAAATTATAAATTTGTATTGAAAACTATAATAAAGTTGTATAAGTTATATTTTTAACTATAGATGTATGTCTACATATCATTAAATAATTATTTTTAATACATTCTATATCATTTGATAATTTTTGTGAGAAACTTTACAATAATTTACACAATGTTCGACCAATTGAATTAAACTTCATAAAAGAAATGAAATTCGTGTAATTTATTATACTTCATACAAATTTTCTTAAATAATTAAAATTATGACATGAATTATTTTGTTAACATACAAAATAATTTGAAGGAACCAAATTATGTACTTCTGGTGGAACAGTTTAAGATATAAATGACAAACAATATACATTAAATATGGTTTGAAAATAAAGTATAGAAGATAGAGTAGAAAACGGAGAGAAAGAAAAATAAAATAAAATAATAGGTATTGGCATGATGCACTAGAGTGGAGTTGAGGTGGAGCTATTCTTAATCATTCATCTTCTTTTATCTTTTATCAGTTATCCCTCACTCCAAATGACATGATTTGAGAATGACATCTTTTTTATCATCTTGTTATCGATGACAATAATTTATTTACTTTATTATTGATTAATTTAATCAACTATTTAATTATTCATTTTTACCCCTTTTGTTTTACCCTCTATGTATAAGTCGTAGAATGGTGTAATTTTCTTGCCTTTCAAGATTCCTCCATTTTTGGTTGTGCGCTTATATTTTAGTTCACTTTATAGTTTTTTAACAATTTTTATATATTAAATACAAATTATTATATAGCATGAGAATATTTTAAAGATTTTTTTATAAAAAATATTTTTTTTAAATTTTTTTATTTATTATAGTTATTTATAAATTAAAAATTAATATTTTAAAATAAACTATTAATAAATAGATGAAAATATATTTTATAATATAAATTATTTATTATAAATTTAAAATATAATTTATATGTACGTTTTTTTTTTGTTATTCTTCATTCCACTTCTGTCGACCTTTATTTTCAGATAATTGTTACATAACATTTTTTTAAAATATTTAATGTATGGAAAATACTTAAATGTTACGCTTTTAATGTTTCTTAATTATTAATTAATGTTTTTGGAACAACGTTTGGTATAAGAGATTTCCTAACACTGATTAAATATTAAATAATTAATAATAAAAAAGATTCTACTAAAATCATATTAAAAATATAATGGATGTATCACTGGTATTTTTAATAACACTATTGATAAAAATTTATATTAGACTTCCGTATTATTAAAAGTCACTTTAAGTATATATAAGTAACATTAAATGTAACATTTTTTTAAAATATTTTCTTTTAAATATTTTTAATTGATCGATGGAATCGTGTGATGCACGAGGAAACGTGTATGAGAAGTATAATTATGTCCTATTAAAAATAATTATATAAATTATATTGTCACTTACGCCAATATTTAATTAGAGTGGTTAGTAAAATCACAAAACTTTTAAAGAGTGACTAAACTAACTAAAATTGAATTATGTTTTTTCTTCAAAACAAATATAAAAAAGATAAAATTCTATTTTTTTATATCTAACTATTTTAAATAAATTTAAATATGTTTTCAATCCTTAAAAAATTAGTGATTTTTTATTTTATTTCCTGTAAAATAAATGTTTTATCATGTCTTTTAAATTCAAAACCGTTGTTTTTCCTAGTAAAATAGATGGATTTGGATTTTAATTTTTATATAAAAAAAAATCTTTTATTTTAAAAAATTTGAAACCAATATTTTTATCTCTAGCAATTATTTTAAGGTAATGAATAATATTTATTTTGGAGATCTATTTTTTTTTCATAGTGTCGCATGTTAGCATGATATTATAGATAGTCATGGATGTTACTTTAGATTGTTACATAACCTTCAATTAAATATATAAGTGTATAATAGTAGTAGGAACTAAAAAACTATATGGTTATATTTTTTATATAAAATTATCTTTACATTTTTGTGTTTGTTAATGTTTATCCTTCTCATACTTTAACTTACCATTTGCATGTTTTTTGATGATTGGATAATGATGATTATGTTTTTATGAGAGTTTAGGGTTTAGGGTTTTTATGAGAGCAAGACAGGGTTAAGCTTGATGAGTTTGACACCTGAAAAGTCATGCTCTTAGATGGTAGTGTAGTTAGAGGGCTATTATTATATAATTTTTAGTAGAATTGTTTGACCGACAATTTAGTATATAGTTTGGACTACTATATATATATATATATATATATATAAAAAAC